GCCAGAAAAAGCATCGGTATTTGGACTCAGTGCCTCCCCTTATATAGTGACTCTGTCCCTCTCTCTATAGTCATCATGGGATACAGTCTTCACAGTGCCTCCCCTTATATAGTGACTCTGTCCCTCTCTCTATAGTCATCATGGGATACAGTCCTCACTGTATAAAATCAGTGTCATGAGATGGTACAATTGTCATGTGATTGATATTTTTTTGTTCATCGTGGTGGCAATCCTGACTCTGTCCACACGGTGCTTACTTGCACCCCCCCAGCCCTGTTTGTGAGAGAGCAGAATGCTCCGTGACAGACAGGCACAAAAACGCTAGCGGGGCAGTCCTGAATAAATATACATGCCTCTCAAAAATAACAACACTTCTCAGTCGACGCATTCTCAATAATCATCTCCCAAGCCATTTCCAAATGACACACCCCCAAGGTGCTGATTTTGATCTCTCCCCCTTAATAACACGAGGAGAACCTCCGCCGTACTTCAATGAAAGGGTGAAACTCGATAATCTGACAGCCCTGGAATAGATAAGACAAATTAATAAGGGATAAGACGAGGATGACAGGAGTGGGAGAGTGGTGAGAAGCCGCTGCGCGCATCAGCACTGGATGGAGGCAGACCACAGCACTGGATAGAGGCAGACCACAGCACTGGATAGAGGCAGACCACAGCACAGGCACTGCGGAACAACGAGGGAGAGCAGGAGCCGCAGCACAGCCACGCACAAGGACTGGAACCTTGAAAATAGTCTCTATAGACGTTTTTACACTTAAGTTCCAGAACCTGATCCCTGGTTCCAAGTTCATGGGCTGTCTCAACCGATTCCTGGCTACTTTCGTGTGTCGCTTTCACACTGCAGAACTGGGACCGTTATTCTAAATAAGCATCAACGTTGCAAAAAGCTCATAGGTTAAGCTTCACACAATTTCAAACTAAACTACCCCACCACACCAAAACAACAGAGGGTAAATAAGTCATTTTTGTCAGTTATTTTGTTAGTATTACTTATTGGGGGATCGATGGCGATCAAAACAGGACATAGCATTTTATTTATATTTTACTTATATGACCTTTTCATTATTCTTATTAAATACGGGTAGCAGATCGATCTTTCGTTTTACTCAGAATAAAAAATGATGTAATGTTATTCTGCTAATAAGCGCAGGCAAGTTTCACCACCGGCACCGGCGATCAGACAAAATCTGGTTATCAATTGACTGACTGTGAAAGGACCAAGAGCTGGGACTGTGACTGACCATGAGAGGACCGACAGAGGGGACCATGACTGTGACAAGGCTATGAGCTAGGGGGCACCATGGAGCCCAGGCAGGCTCTTACCTGCTCGTATTTCTCCAGCTCGGTGTGATAGATCTGCCGAATTTGGGAGAGTTTGGCCCGGTAGTCCGAGTGCTCAGCAGAGTTGTCCGAGCCAGCACCCCCAGCGGCAGCAGCAGCGGCTGCGGCGGCGGCAGACCCGCCCCCTTTCTCCGGCCCAGACACACCCTCGGCCAGAAGCATATTGTCCAGGCGCATCAGCTGGGCGTCCGGAGGCTCCTCCTCCTGTGCTCCACGGATACTCAGCACTGGAAAGACAGCCAGGGTCAAAGGTCACACAGAGGTCACTAAGTTCAGAGGCGACACCCAACACACACCAGCAAACAAACAAACATTGTAACCTGTTGGGAGTTAAGTGTGAGGCACTGACACGTCACAGAGTGTATAGGCCGGCCTCCCAGTGCGTTTCCCAAATAAACCGGCACATGGACAGACCTCCTAAATCTCCATCTCAGCCATGATGCATCACCAGTCCTTCCTCTCCTCATTTCATTGCCATAAAAGAGCTGGGGCTACATGCTGTTTTGGCAAGCCGGAAGATAATTAAACCGTCATTTCATCAATTAGAAACATCAGCTCACGGCCTTAGTCGAGCAGTTGCTCTCCTGAAATGTCCATGTTCCTCCTAAATTTGCGCCACTGCCAAATCCAACCAAAAAAACCTTTTCAAATCAACCAAAGTCACCAGAATACACTAACAAAAATGAATCTGCGGAAACGCCATCCGTCACGCCGCAGAAAATGCAGGATCCGCTGGCAGGGTTCGGTCTGTTAATCTCTGCCTTTTGGCCGTGCATGGCTCTGCAGAGAGTCCCTCGGGGAGGGGGGCACGGGGGGGTCTTGCGTTAAAGGGGGCCGTTGTTAACGAGATGACGCTGTCGAATGAGTTATTATACACAAGCAGCCCCCACAGAAACATTCTTCAAAGCAGTTATACAAACAATGCTGTTTCAATGTAACTAATGAGCTGGGCTTATTAACGCAGCAAAATGAGCGTTTATGCTCCATCTCTGTACCTGAAGGAAATGCAACAAAGGGGTGGCTGATTCAAGCAGCAATGCCAGCAAAAGTATAACCCACAAATATATCTAAAATTTGTCTATGAAGGCATACTGTACTATTTCAATGGCTAGGAAGTAACATTTAAAAGCCTATTGCTCAGTAATGCATTTGTGCAATTTTTTTTTTCTTCAGTTTCCAAAAAAAATATCATAAAGCTGAGCTGGCCTTTCACCAAGACCTGCTTTTGACACTGTACAAGCCAACATCTCACTTGAACCTGGATCTGCTCACTCCCAGGTTCAGGAAATGGTTTGTGGAAACACCAGAGCCACCAGGGTTCCTCGGGAACCCAACCGACCTACATGCCAGACTGACAGCACCAGGTCATCTTGGGCTCCCCCTACCCCCTACAGCATGGCTGCCTCCCAGAAAACCTTGGTACCCCCTGGGATGTGGCTTGTCTTTCTGGAAACAAGCTGTTCTACAGCATGTCCACTAGGGGTCTCCCTCAGACTCATTTCAAAGGTAACACACCAGGTACGTATTTTACATGCATTTCACAAGTACAAACAAAAGGAATTTAAGATGCTAAACACACACTCTTGAACTTTTTCTACTTGTTTGCTTTCATTAAAAAAAGAAAAATCTAGTCCCACAACAACAGTGAACACATTAAGGCACACCAGCCTCAATTACACATATCAGCAATTAAAAACAGTGCCAAAAGCAAATTAAGAGAGAAATCTTATCTTGTGGTTTTCTCTGTTAGTCACCCTCCAGTGAGCAGTAGCTCCTAATCAAAGTGGATGAAAGGTTCCAGCTCATTAGGCCTGAGACTTTGGGGAGGCGGGGAGGCCTGCCCTGGTCTGTGAGCTGGCTTCAGCATAACTGCCCGCTGGGATGAGAGAGGCTCCTGCTGTCAGCTCGGCAGGGGTGTGGGTAGGGGCGGGGGCAGACCCCCCACACCCCTGGCAACGCCCTCACCACCCCTCCCATCACTGTATCTGGAATGCAAATGTCATGACTGCTGGTGAGCGGAGTGGGGTCATGAGGTCATGCATCGGGCATTGTGTGTGGGGGGGTGTTCTGCAAACATCCTGTTTCATCTGTGTGCGTCCTGTGAATGGCTGACGGAGGTGGAGGGGGGGTGAGTGCAGATAAAACCGTGCCTGCATAAACTGCCCATTCTCCCGACTGCACCTATCCAACGTTCATGATTTACGAAGACCCCGAGCAGATCTGACGGAACCTTCAGAAAAGAGTATAAAACTTTTTCTAACGTTATAACTACCTCATAAATACCAGAGTCAATGAAGCACAAAAACAAGCTCATAGTTCAAAACATAAAATTAAAAGGAGAGCGAAGCCCTTTATCATCTGTACATTTTCATGCTCTCCTCCTGGAGCGCTCATAACTGTGCCTATTACCATCTCTTAAACTGCTGGGACAACGTTTAACGCGGAGACGCAAAGAACTCAACAAGAACCTGCTCTGTTCTAGAGCGCACAGGATAAAAATACCAAAGTACGCAGAGAAGAGTTTTGTTTACTCTTCTGGGAGACAAAGAATTATTGGAAAAGGAGTACAAATTCTAAAGGTACAGACACTCTGGAGGTCTGAGTCACCTCTGGAACCAGCTCCCACAGCATGCACACACACACACAGACACACACACACGGACATGCATGCACGCACACACATGTCTAGACTGTCACTTGGAATCACCAAGTATCCCTGAGTTCATACAACAATTCCATTACACACTGCAGCCCCTGCTTTGCATTTGCCAGTGTTTATTTTACTTGGCTGTGGTGCCGCTGCCATCAGTCTTTTTAAAAGGGGGGGGGGGGGCTGGCAGCAGCGGTGATCCACTGCCGTCCATTTGTTATGAAAGCCTCAGAGAAGAGCGGAGAGGAGAGGAAATGGGATAGGCGCCTGGAGAAATGGGGAAGCGGACATCTGACACCCAGCGTGCTCAGCTTCTCCTAGATTCCGCCGTGGCGCGTCACAGACCCCTGAACGCCAACCGAGCACTGTACAGGGGCAGGGCGCAGCGAGACGAATATCAGGCACATAGCGCTCAAGCGTGGCTACAGGACTTAAAATGGCGACGGCTGCGTGTTCAGCTGGCTGGAGAACGACATTATCAGATGAGGCAGGAAGAGATGCGCAGATGAACTCTGAGCGGGGTTCACGTCGTATCCGGCGGTTAACATGTGGAAAGTGACCTGAGCTCTGTAAACCAAACAGAGAAGGGGCCCTCACCATACACGGCAAAAACACAAGAACATATCCATTCACACCTGAACGAGCCCCCCACCTGCCCCCTTTGACGGACACGCTTGGCACGGACACATCCGTCAGGCCATCAGCGACATCCTCTCTGAGAATGGGCTCAGCACAGCCCCGACAGCAAGGCGGAGCCCAGGGTAAAACCCCAGGGTTGGGCCTGTTGTTCTGCCCAGTTTTAATCCCACCTTTGAAGTGCTTTTTCTAAGAGAAAAAGGAAATCTGGAGTGGTTCCGGTGTGTGGTACCGAGACAGGCTCTGGCTTGCGGCTAAAGCTGCCCTCTCGGAGAACGTCAGTCAGGGAAAAAGTGCCAGGAAAAGAAACGACAGAGTAGGGATGGAGCACAGGCCCGGGAATCCTTCATCAGTGACAGCGACTTGCTGCACAAGGCAACCTCTGTGAGTACAGTGCCTCACATTTGCTGGCTTCCGCTCATTACGCAACATGGCCTTCCGGTGACTTCACAGGCCGCCATTTAATAATGTGCGCCATCGTTAGTGTCAGAAGCCACTGCTACTAAACACTGTGTGTTCCCCCTCTTATATTTTCTGTATTTAGCATTATACAAGAAGTATATTCATCTAACTATCCATCCAGCCTTCCCTTGCAGCTCAGGACACAAGGCAAGGGGACACACTGGACAGGATGGCAGTGCACTGCAGGACACAAGGCAAGGGGACACACTGGACAGGATGGCAGTGCACTGCAGGACACACACACTCACAAACACAAATCGTACATACAGGCAATTTAGAGATGCCGAATAACCTAACTGTGTGTCTCCAGACTGCAGCAGGAAACCACAGTATTCAGAACAAACCCTTACAATACAGTCAGAACATGCAAACAGTACAAAAACATGCAGAGCAGAGGTGGGATTCAAACCCACAAGCTTGGAGGTATGTGGCAACAATGCTAGACACTTTTATCCATCAGTTCTAATTCTGATTTAAAATATATGATTTATATAGCAGCCAACAAGAAGAGACAACTCAGATACTCATAACTAAAAGGCAGTTACTGGTTCATCAGGAAGGGAAAGTATGATTTATTTATACCATTCATATCCACTTGCACACAATTAAAATAATGAAATGGATTAAATAAATATAACTAATAAAGGAAAGAAAACCACGTTCTCGTCATCCCATTACCTTCCCCGTGGGCCGTAATTAGGCCTCCCCAGTTCAGAGCCCTTTATTGTGATTGGGTAATGGTGAGCTAATTGATTTGTCCTAATGTTACCATTCCTGGCTCTGTGGCACATTCCCATCCAGAGCCAGGCAGAACCAACTTAGCCACCCGCTGATGAACATCAGCCATTCTCCAAGGGATAAACAATTATCTGTGCATGTTCTTTTCATCTCTCTCAGCCCTGCCGGCACAGTGCTTTCCGGAAGTCTCCAGCGGACACCCTTCTCCCACTCAGAGACGAGGCCTTAATCCGCCTCCCCAGCCGCCGGCGCACGATTCCCACTCGGTAGCCAATTAGCCAACCTTTGATCCGCATGTTCCGGATTGGCTGCCTGATTACTGTTCTATGGCCTGCATTTACTTGGCATCTATTCCGCACATGGTCAGGCTGTCATGTCGGCCGTACGAGAGAAGCCCTTTGCACTGATGCACTCCAGTTTTACTCCATTTGCATGGATATATGGCAGAGTGCTGAGCGGTTCTATACTTCATTAAGAAAAGTGAAACAAAATGATGCGGAACTGTCAACTCAGCCATCCAACCCTGGCCTCTTAGAAACCATATCAGTACTGAATAAAAGCCAGGCCAGCACCTGGGGGGGTGAAGGGGGCTTTTCACTGTCCAGTTAGATATTAATTAAACAAGTTTAGTTTCCAAGGCACACAGCCAGGGGTTGTATGTAGGTTTAAGGATTCATGAGGATCCAAAAACAGACTGTATATCAGCCACACACTGTGGCACACTGACGTGACCCATGTCAG